AGGGACATATTTTAATGTTTAAAATTAATTCTTTTTAAGGAACCAACTACAAATTTTGAACTTTGCGTAGTAGTTAGCAAACTTCTAATAAAGTCATGAATGCCAAATTTGAGCTCAATAAAAATATAGACTCACGACAATAAGAATTTAATAAAAAATTAAACCAAAAAAGTCTAGTAAAGAAAAAACACAAAGATATACAATAAAAAGGAAATATACAACATAAACATCCTTCATAAAACTTTAATCATAATAAGTGTATGATGTGTAAAATACCAACATATTCAACTGATATTATGATCATTGCAAGACATATCATTCAAAAATATTATTATCAAGTGAATTGTTGTGAAAACTAATACTATAGCGACTTCAATTATACAATTCTTATAATATATCAAGTATTTAACTTGTTAAAAGTTTTTTTTTTAATATGTTACAACAAATAATTTAAATGTCGACATTATAGTTACAAAATATTTAATGCCTTAAAGCTTCCGCCTTCTTTTTAAGGAATAATACCCTCCACTTTTTTACAGATGCATACATATCGAGAACTTGTCGTCAAAGGAGAGTGGTGTTTTGTAATAGTTGTAAAGAAATTCGATCAACATATGTCTTCCTTAGGATGGCTAGTAGATCATTATCAATTTCATAGTCTACACCTACAAAATAAAAGTATTTATCTGTTATAAAATAATCATTGTTTAAGAATTTTAATTGACATATATAAATAATAATTACATGTATATGTACCCTTCGTCTTCTTTGGCTCATTCAAAATTATTAAGTCTGCCATCTGTAAATTTTGACAATTTTTTTTTTGTCAAGTTACATACATATAATTGAATTATGAAATACAACACAATCATTTGTGAGATATAGAAAAAAGAAAACAATATAAACCAAAAATTATATGGTGCAATATATATATATATATATATGGACCAATCTAAAAAACAAATGAATTGCATATAAGAAAACTTGAAATCATCACCAATATAAATTTAAGAGTCGTCTTCATAGAGTCAAACTAAAGTATGACTTAAATTAAATAATACAATGATTCACCATTTTAACTATAGAATGAAAACAATAATAATCTTAGGTAGCCGTTGAAACAAAAAACTGAATTTATATATACAAAAATTAAGAAATATCAAAAGATATAGGTTATGAATTCTCATATTATATAAGTGGGAGTTGAGGCTACCCATTAACTTGACATGTGGAATTACTAGATTTTTCTCTTATTATTTTCTATTCTACTACTCCCTCTGTCCCAATTTATATGACTTACTTTCCTTTTTAGTCAGTCCCAAAAAGAATGACACATTTCTATTTTAAGTAACAATTTGCCTATAAGTCACATATATCGAGACAGAAAAAATAACATATATCATTTTAAAATTACCAAAAAAGTATTATAAATAATAATAATTAACAACTTAAAATATCTAAAAGACATTTTAAAAGGGTTAATTTTGTAATTTTATCAATATCACATAAATTAGGACAAAGTGACCAGTAATGTA